CCTCATAAATTCTATTCCTACCCACTCAACCTTCTTGCTGTTCTACTCATCTACTTGGTCAGAGGAGGCTGGTTTAAAGTATAGGTCTCTGTATAAGATTTGATAAAGTTTGGAATTGTATATGGGTCCTCAAGTTCATTCCATTGATCAATGTGCACATTTCAACCCTCATCAGAGAAGCCTTTTTATTTCATTAGATGATAATTAACACAGAGTCAGAGCTGGTTAGAGTGTAGAGAACAAAAGACAGCAGAATATTCAGCCCTGGATGGGACATCTATATCACACCCTGTCCTCTGATTAGTTCAGGAACTATTGAGGAAGAAAGAGTACAAAGATCTTTTTTTTTTTATTTTAATTTCAAATAGCATGTTTTACATGTCAATCCCAGGTCCCTCTCCCTCCCATCCTCCCTCACTCCCCCATCCCCCCAGCCTCCCCCCCTATTGCCAATTCCTTCCACATAGGGGATATCTAGAGTCTGTCATTTCACTCAGGGCAGGGTCCAGGCACTCCCCTAAGAGTCCAAGCTGAGAGAGCATCCCTCTTGTGCTATGGGCACACGATGTCTGTTTGTATTCCAGGGATAAACACTGATCCACTGCTCAGGGCCCCATAGGTTGCCCAGGCCTTCTCACTGACACTCACATTCGGGGGTCCAGATCAGTCCCATGCTGGCCTCCCCACTATCGGTCTGGGGTCCAAGAGCTCTTCCCTGTTCAGATCAGCTGTCTCTGCTGGTTTTGCCAGCCCATTATTTACCAATTTGCTGATCACTCCTCTCTCTCTGTCACTGGGTTCCTTGGGTTCAGTTCAGTACTTAATTGTGGGTGTTTGCCTCTGCTTCCATCAGTCACCGGATGAAGGCTCCCGGATGGTTATAGACATCAAGTTCATTATCAGGAATGGGCATTCAAGGTGGTCTCTCCACTATTGCTTAGCTTGCCAATTGGTGTCATCCCTTTAGATCACTCGAGGTTGCTCTGGTGCCTGATCTGTATTCGATCCTATGATTCCCTCTTCCCCCTATTCTACCCCCCACTCAACCTTCCTGTTCCCCCATGACCTACTCTCTCTTCCTCTTCTCCCCCTCTATTCTTCCCAGCTCCCACTCCCCCCACCCCTTGCTGTGTTCCCCATCCATTCAGAGGATCTTGCCTCATTCCTCTTCTCTTGCATACTATGCACATCTTTTAGGTTCTTTCCTGTTTCCCAGACTCTCTATCAGTGGAAGTGCAGACTGGCACTATCCTGATCCATGTCTAAAATCCATATATGAGTGAGTACATGCCATGTCTGTCTTTTTGTGACTGGATTACCTCACTCAGGATGGTTTCTTCCAGTGCTATCCATTTACCAGTGCAAAGATCTTAAGAGTCTCACGCTAGATGGATACAAGGAAACGTTTTCTGAACACAGGAGAGCAACTGTAACTTTGGACCCACAGTGGTGTGGAAGCATGCACAAGACCTAGTAAAGTTACAGCCAGGTACAATGCCAGCATGTACAAAGGGGACTATCATGAGTCCCCCATAACTGATAAGCTCTGGGCAAGTGATGGCTGTTGGGAGAGGGAAAGTTCGTTTTCTTGAAGAATATATTATCAGCACAAGCACAAACTTAATAGTTTTTTTTTAAAGAAAGGGAGGATACAATGTTTGGTAGAAAAGGGCATGGGAGGATCAGGGGCAAGATGGAGGGGCAAATATGATCAAAAGGCATGTATGAAATTCTCAATTAATATTTAAAAAATTAGTAAAATGTGTCAAGAAGCCTTATGAAACATTACTGGTTCATAAATGGATTAAAGTATAATTTAAATAAAAGAATTGATAGGATCCCTACATCTGCTCATCTGTACTCCCTTGGAGAAATGACAAATCTGACTAAAATACTACAGCATGAACATTTATATAATAATGAAACTAAGGAGAAAAAGCAAGGAACCCGTGTGGTAGTGTTGGGGATATTTTCCCACAAAGGAGGGAGCCAGGGTGAGGCCAGGCTTTAAATATATGTTTGGCTTTGTCCCAACTGGCTCCTATAGACAAACCAGATGTCAGCTACTGACTATTTTGAGTCCTACTCACCTATCAGCTGCAGAAAAAAAATAATCCATCCCTTTTGTAATATAACAGCAGACTTGGATTCCTTCAAAAGTGCAACCCACTGGCTTTTCACTTGGGAGGTGTGACACAATATGAAAAGAAATATGCAGAAAAGACTAAATGATGAATTAATTCCATTCTAAAGACAAAAAGCAACAAAGAACTTAATCTGAACACATTGCTAGATAATTTTGGTCAAATATTAGACTTTGACTCTTTTGTTTCAAAAAGCTTAACAGGAAAACATATAAACTTGATTTAACCTAGATTCAAACACTTGCAGCCAGTTTCATAGACAAGGAAAACAAGTGATTGATTGTGTGAAGTTCCATGAATAAATTATGAGACGTTGGGAAGGAGCCCCATCCAATTTATTGGAGGATGATAAGGTACAAAATATATGCAGAATTTGTATCATAAATAAACAAGCCTCCAACTTAGTTCATATTGAGGCCCTTAAAAACAACTCTAGAACAATTGTTCAAGTTAGTTTACCCCTTTTAAATATGGATAAAATTTGAGTCAATAGTTTATACAAAATTTTTGCTTCAACATAGACAAAATCAATTATTTGAATCTTTAAATGTATATTCCTTTTCATCTGATTTTAAATTCTTTTGAACACATTTGTAAAGCCTATCAAGAAAGAACTTTTATTGCCAATATACCTGTTCATGAAATTTTCACCACAAATACAGTGTTTAAGAAATAAATCTCCTGTGTTTCCATATCTTTGTCATCACTGAGTACATTTGAGTTTATATACTGTCAACAATGTGACTCTGTTCCCTTTCTTTCAGGACATAAAGGCTACAGGTATGCTACCATCAGTGGGCAGGCTTTTGAGGTTATGGTCTTGCTGTCCAAATACAGATCACCTCAGGATCTGCTCCAGCAGGAAGAATGGCCAAGGAAGAAGGAAATTGGGACAGTGACACTGCTTGCCAACCTCTAGTTTTGGCCTGAGCACTTCCTGGGAAATCAACTTTTCTGAACTCCAGCCTAGAAAGCGTAAAGTACTATCTGCCCAAGACATACTTGCTTTGAATTTCAAAGACATATTTTCTTTGATAGAACATGCCTGCCTTTTGTAGTGAGCTGTTGCGGTTTTCAGGCTTCAGGGTTACAACACTTCGGGCTGAGGATTTAAATGAAGACAAAGACAGCGGCTCATTCTTGCAAGGAGAATGGCATTTATTATAACGAGAGTGGAGCATTAAATACTGGTCAGGCACACCGGAAAATCACGAAGGTCAGAAGCCTACATTCCCAGGGTCCTCAGGCAAAGGATGGGCCAATAACAGGAATTAGCATTTAGACAATAAGGATGGACAGAAAGCAGGAACTTGCATTCAAGCTATACTGGGAGGAAGGGATAAGAGGTGATTAGCTAGAAGCTCCTAGTCACAAGCTGGTCAGCAGACCCCCAAGGGGGAATGGTGAAATACCTTTGTCATTTTTCTAATTCTCTTGGAATAATCTTTGTCCCAAGTTGACTTCTATTTCTAAATCTTCCTTCATTCAAAACTAGAGCCCTGTGTTGCATTTATCACCATTTTCTTTATGTTTCAAATCCTGTGGTGATATATTGTTTATGATTTATTGAAGCCACTGGAGATCAAAATAGCAAAACAGCCATGCTAATAATCCAAAGAAGCCAGGCAGTGGTGGCATACACCTTTAATGCCAGAACTCAGAAGGCAAATGCAGATGGATCTCTGTGAGGTCAAGGACACCCAGGGCTACAGGAAATTGAATCAGTCTAAAAGGGTAACAGAGCTCAGGCCTGTAGTCCCAGGACTCATGGGAGGTATTTAAGACAGGAACAGGGTCTCAGAGCTGTCTCATTCATTCTCCAGCCACATTAATAATAGGAAGGCATAGATTCTCCAGCCATGCTGAGGAGAAATGAGCAGTCTGAGGCTTGGTGGAGAGTTTGTGGAGACAGGATTAGCCCTTTCAGTCTGAGACAGAGGTAAGAGCCAGTGACTTGACTGCTTTGCTTCTCTGATCTCAGCTTGAAGCTTGAACCCATCACTGGGTCTTTCATTTATCATGTTACAAATTCTTGTTATGTTCTCTACTGTATTGAACACTCACATGCCATCATTCAGATGGGTAGTGCTTACGTGTGTACATACATATACACACGCATATATGTATATATTAATTTAAATATCTAAATTTGTATATATTTTAGAAACCTTCACAGGTATTTGTTTCAGATACAAATAAATTCTACTAAAATACTACAAATGGTTTTGGAAAGATGTATTTATTACATGCATATGAGTGTTTTACTTGAATTTATATATGGTCCCATTGGTATGACTGTCGCCCTCAGAGAATATGGGAATCCCCTGGAACTGGAGTTAAAGATGGTTGTGAGCAACCATGTGGATGCATGAAATCAAGCATGGGTCCTCTACAAGTGCTGTAAACAACTGAGCCATATCTCCAGCCCCTACAAATGATTTCTAGTTGTGACATAGGGAAATGTAATATATAAGCTATATTGCAATTTTAATGTTAGTCTTAATGAAACAGCAGCAAATGTTATTCAGTTTATTTCTAGTTGTTCACCTTGTGCATAAATAATAACTGTCTAAATCTATTTGTATATTTTAGAGACACCAATCTCTATGTATATATGTTTATATATTATGCTTATGGTGCTATCACTGTAAAGCATGGTATTATTTTTTCATAAATGGGCTCTCAAATAGTTTTCATTCAATTGCTGACACCCCCACCAATAAGTTAGACCCATAGTCACCAGCTTACTACTCTTCTCCAAAAAAGAGCTCCATTTCCTGGTCTGAATTTCTAGCATCTAAATTTTCTTTTCTTGTTATTACAAAGAAAGGAATGAATAGAAAATTATGGTCATACCTTGCACTTGCTCACAGCATGCTCTCTGTGCCTTTTAGCTGACATTAGTGTACAGTTGGTTTCCTTAGAAACTTATGTAACAGATTGCAGAACCTCTTTTAGAACCATTGAAAAATTTAAAGGGCCATACCCTCTTCTCCTCTGGACAATTTAAAAATATTTAAACAAAAACTGCTTGGATTTTACATGGCAAGGACACTATAATAAGGTTTTCTACAGCAACAATGTAAGATGTTGGTAGCAACAAAAATGTCCTCTGAAGCATATGTTTATATACACATATAGGTACATAGAAAACCATGCACATATGGGAAAAATCAAGACCTAAATTTCTCTTTCTGGCTTGCTGACTAGGCTCAAGATCAAAGGCTTATCATAGATTTTTAAAAAGAAGTGATATGATGTGCACACTCTCATAGGGTCATACTAGGTAACAATGCTCCTGGCAGGTATTCAGGGCTCTTGAGCCATGCACAGCATTTGAAGCATCTCACATCTGCTAAAACAACACTTTCTTCCTTAGAGGTTACCCCCTTCTATGTTTTCTATGATGCCACACTGTCTTCAATAGCTTAGCTTTTGACTATACCTTTTCTATGTAGTTTATAAGCTGTACTTTCTCTTCTCACTGCATTAAGACTCCATTTTAGACTCATTAATTTTCTTGGCCCTTGTGAGCTGCCTCACTGACAGCAGTCAATGCTATAGTTTCTGCTGCTATCTTACTGTGAATGTCATCTGAACTTCTCCACCGAACCCTGTCCTCTCTCCAGAACTTTAATCTCAAACACCCAGGCAAAGGTATCAACCAGCAAATCCATCTGAAATCCTACTCAATGAACTTGCAATCAGACATCTATCTCATCCCATAAATAAGCAGCCCTTCTAGGTTTGCCACTTGTCTATTACAAACAGTAATGTTTCTATGTTTCAAACCCAGCCCATTTTTAAACTACTGGTTTCCTTTTCTTCTTTACAAACTGTTCATCATGAAATACTTAGAAGATAGTCATACTACAAACATTTATTGAGGGCATAACACAAACCACTAAACTTGACACTAAGAAAATAATATGGTTGTTTCTACACTTTTCCATGTATAGGCAATGTGAAAATCAGCATTCATGACTGTAATTGTGAAAGGTTACCTAAATCCTTTCTGTCTTAAATAAATAGAAATGGGATTTATCCTAGGTTAGACTTTTGCATATTTGGTCAAATTCTCTTGAAACAAAGGCAGTCACCTAAGAACCAATCTTAGATGACACCTGAATACCAGGGCAGCTAAGCTTATGAGCTGACATCGGAATAGCCTTAGTGATATTGAGCCAGCAGATTATGGTCTTTCTTGACCCTTATCATCATATTTCATTTTAATGTCCGCATGATATTGCTCAAGCAGACAAAAAATTAAGAATGTTATGTGAAGGTAAACCTGGGATCCTTTAAAGCCTACATTTTATTTAAAAGGGTACATAGGGAAATAAAATCTCTATCAAGATGTAAAAAAGATTGTTCATTGTACTTGTTCATTGGGGGAAAACTGTACACATAGAGGAATTTCTAATATGGTTTCCAACTTTATAGTAAAGCTACAGATAAGTGTAGCTTTTGGTCTTGATCCAGGAAGTTTCTTATGCAGCAAATGGGGGCCACCACTTATCAAATGCAAAGAATAACTGACTACTGGGCATCAAGTTTCAGCTGGTACACCTACAACACAAACCCCACACCTAAGACTCAGGGAACATCATAGAAAAAAAGAAGGGTGGCAGAGCCAAAAGACTAGGACATCTGCTTCATGATAGTGTCTTTTAGACATGATAGGGAAGCTGCACTGCTGAAATCTCAGCAATATGGTTGCCTGCACAAGATGTGCATGGTGACCATACCAGTTTGACATGCCAATGTTGATGGGAGAAAACAGGTCCCACCCCTAGATGAAGAGATATGGACAATCGATGGCTGCTGAAGGAGTGAAAATTCACTTTCTTCAGGAATAATCTCCCTCATATGTCACCTAATCCTACATGGTCAGCCTTAATGACATATATATGTAGACAAGACTAACTAGGCTCTGTAGGTTGTGTGTGTGTGTGTGTGTGTGTGTGTGTGTGTGTGTGTGTGAATAATAATTACAGAAAAAGAAGGTCATGGATTTTAGAAAAGGTGGAGAAATATGAGGCTACCAAAGGCCCATTAATTTAGTGATATTTTTCCCCAAGGTGACGGACTGCATAAGTTCATGCTCAAATCGAGATTTAAACACAGATTTTTTTCTGTAAGTCCACTTATATAGAAATTCAACTAATCTATTCTACAAGTTAAAGAAATAAGACACAGTCAAGTCATGACTATTTTTTAAACTAATATTCTGGTTATAGGATCAAAACATTTGTTCTCTGATGTATAGCTCAGGCTTTCTCTTCTCTCCCTGCTACACTGTGCTTAACTTACTCAGTTGGTTATATTACTAGTATGAAAACTTTCAAAGGTTTATATTGAATCAAGGATTCACATTTTTGAAATGTGTACTTGTTAGCTATCTTAGCAAGCTGATGTATATGGTTATATGGAGATTTTTGCTCTCCTTGGATTGAGTGAGTTTAATGGATGGCTTGGCAGAGAACTGAGCAGATACTAGACATTCTGAACACTTCATGAAGATTAGATTGATTCTATACATGGATAAGTTTCTTTCATACTGATGGATAAACAGGAACTGAATATATCATGATGACAACCCGAGTATTTGCAGATACAAAAATAAAATATATCCACAAAACAACTATTCACACTTGACAAGCTATAGAAACAATCCAAATATGTATCTACTGATGACTAGATAATCAAAATTTGGCATGTCTATATAATGGAACACTCTGAAGCAATAAAGAGTAAAGTGCTGATCCACACATGAACCTTCATAGTATTATGCACAGAGAAAAAGACACTCATAAAAGGCCATTTATTTTATAATCCTCGTTATATAAACTTCCTTGGGAAACTCAAAGAAACAGAAAATACATTGTGTATATTTTCAAGCTTCTCTTTTCTGATTTTTCATAAAATACATAATAGATTCTTTCAAAGTGTATTCAATTCACTTTGCTGTAGCACACTAGAAATACTTGTTTCTATCCAACTGCATTTGGGGATATATTATCTAACTTCCCACTCCATCCTCCTCTCCCTCCAAAACTGGTAATCACTATTCTACATTCAAGCCAACATTTTATAGTTTTCATATGTAAAGACAGCTTGCAGCATGTCTTCCTGTGTCTAAATTATCTCATTTTACTTAATGCCTCCAAGTTCCATTCATTTGTTTTTTTCACAAAACACCTAATTTAAATCTTCTTCATGGTTGATTAAAATTCAATGTGCATATATTTATGTGCATACACATAAGCATATTTTTCCACTCATCTATTGATTGACAGGTAAGATAACTCTACATCTCATATACCATGAATGGAGTCACAATTTTAAAAAGTCTGAATGTAAAGATTTCTTTGTGGTATGTTGACATAAATTTCTTTAGGTCTATAACCAGGAGTGAAAGAACTGAGTTATATGGTAGTGCAGTTTTTATTTTTTCTATGGTGACTGTGCTGGTATACGTCACACTACCAGAGTATAAAGGCTCCTCTTTTGCATATCCTCCAGAAGATTTGTTGCTTTTTCTTTGATGATGAATGATATCAAGGTAATTTTTTCAAACCAAATAGCTCCATTCATTTTCTTTAATCAAATTAAGCATTGCATGAAAGTGTCACCTGGCCAGGCTGATGAGAACCTTTAATAGGTAAAAAACATTCTTTTGTCCCAGAGATTTCCCCAAATCAGAAAGTTTTATCTAGAGCCTCCAAAATCAGATGTTTGTTGACTGTCCCATTGTCCTTCCAGGATCCCTTGCCTTCTTCTCACCCACTGTCTCTGACTCCAGATTTTTTGCAGTCATGGTGTTTAGGTGACATTGAACCTATCTTCAACTTTGGAGATGAAATGATGCCCACAAGTCTATCAGGATTCCCTGCATCCACCTGCACCTAGGCATGATTTATTGCTTGTAGAAGTACAAACTCTGATGTGGGTTCTTTGGTTGTGAGAACCTATGGTTTCTGTTCCATAAGTGAATCATGAGACCCCTTGGAAGGCAGCAGCTATAGAACTTAATTTTCAAAGCTTGTGACCTGCAATATTGGCATAGGTTAGTATACTAAGTAAGTAGAAAAACATGAAGAACACGGAAACACAATGTGAAAATAATGACAGATTCCACTTTAGATAAACAGAAAACAGTGAACTATCAGGTAATGCTTCTCAGGCAACTATTTTATTGTATAGAAATATTAACACATAATAATCACCTTTTTACAATGTTCATTAAAACAAATTCCTAGTGCTTTATTTCCAGTATTAATAAGTGCATGAAACTTGACAAAGAACATTTTGGAGAGTGGCATATAACTTAGGGTAAGGATGAGTTCTTAACAAGACACAAGAAGTACAAGGAAACAACAACAAAGTGAACAATCCTATTTGTAAAAGCTTCAGTACATCTGGGCATGATTTCTCATACCTTGTGATGAATAATTTTTTATTTTCAAATGTTTCGGTTCAAGAAATCCCTGGGAGGACAAACTGAAGTCATGACTCAGTAATTACAAGAGCTATATGGTGGGATGTTGTACAATATGAATCAGCATATAAAAAGTGAAAAGACAAGAGGTATAATGCATGAAACTATCCTGAAACTTATACCCTACAAAATGTCAGAAAGTGAAACTACATTTCCCAGAATGATAGCTACAAGGGGCTGTTGAACATTCAGAATGGGGTTGATTGGAACTGTACTACAGTAAGTGTGAAATATCATATACATATTTTGAGGGCATTGCATGAAAAATATAATTCACTGTATCTCATTCATGATTTCCATATGGACTAACTGTTGAAATGTTTTTTTGAGATAAAAAAGTTAAATATATTATTAAAGAGAACACCAACTGGTTCTTACTACCTCCTAAATACGTTTACTAGCAATTATTA